AATAACATGTTTCTTCCCTGCATTACCAAAAATGAGGCCAAAGGATACCTCAAAAGGTTACCTGGTCCATGCCAGTCATAGAATCATAGAATCACAGAATGGTTTGGGTTGGAAGGGACCTTAGAGATCATCGAGGTCCAACCCCCCTGCCCTGGGCAGGGACACCTCCACCAGAGCAGGTTGCTCAAAGCCCCATCCAGCCTGGCCTTGAACACCTCCAGGGATGGGGCATCCACAGCTTCTCTGGGCAACCTGTTCCAGTGTCTCACCACCCTCACAGTAAGGAATTCCTTCCTAATATCTAATCTAAATCTCCCCTCTTCCAATTTAAAACCATTACCCCTTGCCCTGTCACTACACTGGGACAAAGAGTCCCTCTCCAGCTCTCCCGTAGGCTCCTTTCAGACATTGGTAGGCTGCTATGAAATGTATGTCATCTGTGAAAGATATTTGTTTAACCTGCTACAGGTATTTTCTCACTTTCTGAAGCCACACTTGAGGGACTCCCTTTTGGCAGTGAGCACAAAGACAACCTGGAGAGCGTCCCCTCAAGAAAGGTTCCTCTGATTTTCTGCCAACACCTTGTTTTTCAGGAAATCACTGAATCTTCGGGATTGCGAGCATGTGTCTTCCGTTTGCCCACACCAATGCTCTTTGACAGGTCTGACGTGTCCCTGCGAGCTCAGCGAAGGTTTACGGCTGCGTTTTGTGGAAGGAAGCGCCACAAGGTCTGGGAGGATGCACTCGGAGCCCCTGCGAGCAGCTACGAGGCTCTGCTGCTCTCTGCTGGGAAAATGCGGGCAGAGGCCTTACTGGGAGAAGAGCTGGATTTGCCAGCGTGCTCTGAGCTTGGGCTCTGCACACAAACACTCAGAGCCCCCTGTACCAAAGCAGAGACCTGGGTGCAGTCTCCTCCTCAATGTCGCAGCTCTGGTTGCAAGCCAGCAGCCCCATTCCCTCACATCTCAGCCCCCTCTGCCTCACGCAGGAGCTGGCTTTCTCCACATCGCTCTGTTGCGCCTACGCCTCCTCTCCTCCCAGCCTGGAGTGCAGTTACTTTCTCAAAAACCATCTAGATGGAGGGCAGAGCAATCACCCCAGAACACATCAGAGCAATCATCCCCACCAACACGCAGTACGACCCACCCAGCATCACAGGCTGGCACAGGGATGAGCAGAGATTTCTCTCCAAGGACAGAATCACAGAATCTTCTAGGTTGGAAGGGACCTTAAAGATCATCTTGTCCAACCGTCAACCGAACTGACAAAAATAGTCACCCACACAACAAACAAGGAGCATCATCACTAAACCATACCTCCCTGTAGTGCTCTACATCAACTTGTCTTTTGAACACCTCCAGGGATGGTGCCTCAACCACCTCCCTGGGCAGCCCATTCCAATGTCTGATAACCCTTTCAGTGAAAAAATTTTTCCTAATATCCAGCCTGAACCTCCCCTGGCGCAACTTGAGGCCATTTCCTCTTGTCCTGTCGCCTGTGACTTGAGAGAAGAGACCGACCCCAGCCTCTTCCTTTTTTGACCATTGCTCCAAGCTGCAAAGCCCCTCTTTGCTCTCCAGACCTGGGGAAGGTCTTAACTACATCTGACTGCGACTGTGCAAACACAGAGGTCAGAGACTCTCGGAGCCACAGGGTGCATCGTGAGGACACACACTTGGGTATCACTGCAGCAGGTGAGCTCGCCACTCCAGCCAGCGACCTCAGCCTGGGAGAAAGCCCAAGCCCCGACAGCAGCTCCGGCGCGAAGGAGAGAGATGGATTCCCCAGCCTGGTGCTGACTGGGGCCCTCTGCCCCTTTAAGCAATGATGTTTAATTTTCCGATGCGTTTCATTTCAGGCACCTCATTACGATTTTCAAGTACCGGATGAGGTGACGGGAGTTTAAGACAGGCATTTTCAGGATTTGGCTATTATATATAAATATTTACAGCTCAATAAAGTAAGAAGAAATATTCAAAGTGAACAGACTGTGGAAAGTGATTTGTTCCAACTCTTCACTGCAGACTTGCAAGAAACCAATCAAAGAGGCTCAGGAGTGGTTTGAGCATAATTTATTAACCCAAAAGGGGCCGCATTGTTAACCAACATTATTTATAGTGAACAGCTCAACCATCTCCACCGAACAACTGTGATACTGCAGGGACAAATGCAATGAGTTACTACACGGATAGGACAAAACCAGCAGCAGATCTTTGTTACAGCTGTTAGAAAAAGTGTCCCCAGGAGACAGACACTGAATCTCTAATGGCTATCTTATTTCTCTGACAATTTATTTAAGTTTTAACTTAACAGCAGGAATGATAGCCACAGTTACACAGTGACTCCCAATAAAGGAGCGTATTGCTGATCTGCAGCTGGTGTTTTCTTATTTATTTCAAAGTCTTTAAGTTCCAGACTTAGCATATGGTGCCATATAAATAATGATATAATAATACGTTTTTGCTTTCCATGTGCCTGGATAGAAAAAAGCCGTGTGATTTATGTTACATGAGCATTGTATTTAAGGCATTATTTTGCCCAGAATTTTTAATGCATTTAAAATGCATCTTCTGTTTTTTGTAATCTGTTCTTTTGAAAGAATAAACAGAGCAGTGATGTTTATTTAATGGAGTCATTCATCTTACTTCCTTGTACAAAATCCTAGCTTTCCAGGCCCAGCAGCCAGATCCCTGCAGTAGGCAGTGGGGTTGGAAATGGAGAGATCTGCTGTTTACCAATGAGGCACAGATGAAAGGAAGACATGGGGCTTGAGATTTACCCACAGCAGGATGCTATTTGAAGCCAGCAGGCAGCTGAGAACTGCTTAGTCCCATCCAGCAAAGGATGGAGAGGAGAAGCCCACGGGAGAAGTTCTGCAGGGAGTCATGCTGTGCAGAAAACAGACTGGGATGGCTCAGCACACAACCACCCATACAAACACAACTGAAAGCAGATGCCTTCTTCAGTTACAACTGTAACTGCAGTTACTAGAGCCAACATCGCACCCCTGAAGTATGACAGGGATGTAACAGTTTACAACTTTCCTTTCAAACCCTTGATAAACTAGCTTGGTGAACATTACAGTTGTGCAGAAGCACCTACCTGCAAGGCAGGGAGATCTACTAACTCACACCTCAACTGTTCCTGGACATTGCTGTCTTAGTTTCCAGACTGTCTGGCAGCAAGACGTCATCAAGCAAAATCTTCACAGCCAACAAGGATTGCAAATGTGAATTTAAACATGCACTGATCACTGCAGAACAGAGTATTTCTAAAGAGTGTGCAAGAGAAAACAGTGAATATTCTGCCTACAAACTTGAGCCTGCTCTATTACTCCACAGCTGCCAGGGGAAATATGTCAGAGTCCGCAAATCAAAGACTGACAATCCCAAGCACCAGGCAGCACACTGTACCCTCTCCCATCGTGTGAGGGAAGGATAATCAGTGGAGGTGGAAGAAGTCAGATCCTGAAATCTCCCCAACCAATTCCCTAAGATCCGTTGAATTTTACAGATTCTTGAATCTTTCAAGATCTTTCCAAGTGAACACAGACCCAAAAAAAACCCACATTCAAAAGGCCAGCAGTCCCATGCTGTCCAGAACCACTGCAGTCACATGGCAAAGCAGGAGAGGCAAGATGGGCTCAGAGGAGTTGGGTAATAACCTGGCATCCCATGAGTGCAAACAGCAGTGCTCCAGTGCAAGATGATCTGAGCGGCCAGTGTGGCTGAGGATACAGACAACACTCTCATGAATGTAGAACTGGAGGAGTGGGGAAACTGTTTTGCTTGAAAGGTCAACAGCGTAACCTGAAAAACACACACAAACTGAGCTGCTCTGAATGGAAATGACATCTGTTAGTTTAGCACATGTTTTGAAGTCCTGCATCTCCCCCCATCAACCCCCATGGCAGTTTCAGCCATTCATGTTTCAGTCCCAGCTCTTGTCACACTGGAGCATAAACCAGAGTATTTCAGAAGCTGGTTACTGTGGTAACCCAGCACAGCTTTTATCTTTATTCCTTTCATCTCCTCTTTGGGGGAAACTGGCAATCTGTTTATTTGCTTTTTCCGACAAAGTTCATTACACAGCACACCAACTGTCAGGATCTGTGAAAAACTGAGGAGAAAGTATCTCTCACACGAATGTGCATGTAAATATTTTTCTCAGCGCTCTACTACCCTGCCTCTTGCTTCCCTGCTTCCCTTTACAAACTATTTGCCGTGTCCTTTTCCATCTGACCCTTTATGTACAGCTCGTCTCTGCCCTTTTCCTCCAGGCCTCCTCACTACCATGGTACTTAATAACAGGACCAAAGAGAGCAAATGGCTATCCTGGTCTCTCCTCCATCCTTTATAGGAGCACGATAAGGCCAAAAGGCCACCGGAATTCACGGTGAAGTAACACAGCTCCCTGTAAAACAACAGGCCAGTGGCAGGTTGGGGTATGACTCTGTAAAATGGGTTGACATGGTGCTGGGGGACATGGTTCAGTGATGGGTTTTTTTGTTAGGTTGATGGTTGGACTAGATGTTCTTGAAGGTCCCTTCCAACCTAGATGATTCTATTCTATTCTACTTTATCATCTCCAAAGGTCCCTTCCAACCCCATATGATTCTACGAGGGACCTCTACTTCATTCCCTCTACCAAGGGACCCCTCGCTTCTACCAGGCCACAGGCAGCCTGAGGCCCTCACTGAGGCTGGCTGGCTGCTGACACGCACCAAGAGACCTCTCTAACTGCTGCGGGGGAGAGGGGAGAATAACACAGGCAAGGGGGCAGCCGTGGGGACCGGCCCGGGGCCGGGGCCGGGCGCTCCCTCAGCCCTCGCAACCCCCTCACAACCTCCCGCCCGTCGCTTCCGCCCTCACCCATGATGGCGGCGCGGCCCTCGCTGCCCACTTGACATGGCGGCACCGCCCACCGAGGCCGGTGGGGGGGGGAGGGGGGCAGCGGTTTCCCCGGCAACCGCCCCGGCGTCTTCCCGCCCCTTCCTCTCCCCGCCTACGGCGAGCGACGAGCGGCACATCGAGCCGGCGCCGGGGAAAGGCGAAGCGCGACCCTGCCCTGCCATGGAGAGTCGGGGGCTGGTGAGGGCTGGGGGGTGGCCACCCCGGGCTCGGAGACCTCTTCCACCCTGCACACCCAGCTCGCCCCTACACCCTCTCTGGCTGCGTCCAGCGCTGCCCCCAGGTCCCCTGTGGTGGCCTCCTGCACCCCCAGGTCCCCTGACCCCCCCATGGACCCTGCCATGAGGCGTCCTGTCCCCCCTGGTCCCCAGGCATAACATCCCTCTTCCCAATTACAAGGGAAGGGGAACGAACACTGTTCGTTCTCCCCCTCTGGCCTCCTCCCAGCCCCCCTCTGCTTCAGGGGGTGCAGCTGCAACTGGGGACCCCCCAAACCAGCAAGCGGCTGACGTGGGCCCTGCCCCCTCCTCTCAGCAGAGAGTTCCCCTGAGGAAACCAGCCAGCGAGCAAGGATCAGGCACAGGTTCACCCCACTGCACAGCTCAGTCTGAGGGCTCAGGGCTCAGGGCTGAGCTTAAATGGAGCTCTTGGGCTCGTGGGCAGAAGGTGAGGTGGGAGCAATCACAGAAATTAAAGCCTGTTAGTGCTTGCTCCAAGAGGGGCTGCAACATATTTACAGGAGGATGCGGCAACGCGAGCTATCTGGTCTGTGGGGCTACGTGTTTTAAAATATTTTTCGTTCTTTATTTGTTAAACATTTTAGCAAGAGCCCAATGATCGTTCAGAATTTGAAGTAGAGGAATCTAGCATACCACCAGCTGCTGAACCGTCTGAGGACCAGATACCTATAGTAGAATTCCCACCGTCACTAGATGACTTACTTGGGGTTAAAACACCAGCATCTGCAGACCAGCCATCTATAGTAGAATTGTCAGTGTCTGCAGACCAGCTGGTTGTTGAGAAACCACCAGGTTCTGAGGACCAGTCACCTATCATTGAATTTCTCAAATCCAGGGCAAACTCATATGATATTGGATCTCCTGCGAGTGAACCACCGAGTTTCAAAGTCAAGATGTCCGAGCTTGACTCTGCACAGGCTGGCAGTGAAACACCCGGGGCTCAGTCTTCAGCAACTGCAGACAAGCCAACAGACACTACGTGTGAAATATCAGAGCAGCCAAGGGTGTACGAAGACCCCTTTGAAGTCTCCGTTAAGTACATGGAGAAACACAATATTCTGCAGATATTTCGGGACATCACAGAAAAACTGGTGTACCACAAGCCCGATGACCCCTTGCAGTTCATATTGCAGCAGGTATGGTATCTTGCTCAGCATGGGGCTCAGCAGGGACTGTCTCTTAGGGCCACAGCAGAAAGCCAGCTTTGCTGAGCGCACCAGAAATAATGGCCAACCCATGACTATTTCTCTCACTGTGCGTCTGCTCACTTGGGAGCAGGGGAAGCACAGGGCAAGTAGGAGAAGCACAGCCCAGGGTGCAAGGAACCACATGTGGTCTAAAAGGAGAGGGAAGATAAGTATCAGAGGGTGGGTACGTGGAAGACCTGAGTGTGGGGGCACAATTGGGTAGATGTGCCCCGGAGGGCTGTTATCTGAGAGGTGAGGGAAGCCCGGGGACAGAGACGGGGCCCCTCTGTATCCCTATGACCCTTCTCCAGCTCCCTCTATCCCACACTGGAAGGGAAACCTTTTCCTACCCACACACCCCTATTCAGGAGAGCTGTCTCTGCTGATCCTGCAGGGTATTAAAACACAGGAAATTCAAAGTTGGTGGTGTGAGGTGATAGTTTGGGAGTGAGTTAGACCATGTGTGGGGATCTCCTAGGAGAAAAGAGGAGGTTAGAAGAAAGAGGGGAGAGAGAGAAAGAAAGAGAGTCTTTTCCTTCGCTGCACTCTAGCCAGTCAGGGGAAGAGCCACCTTTGTGATTTGCTGCTGGGTTCACGCTGTACTGAATACAGACCCTGCAGAGGAATGGCAAGGTCGGTTCTAAGCACCAATGGTAAGGAAACAGACTCCCAAAGGACCCTTTTCCTTTTTCTTTTGCCCAGGTGCAGTCTATGATAGATGCCAGGCAGGCAGAAATGGAGGGAAGATTGGAGGAGAATGAAGATGCAGAGGAGTTTATGGAAGAGATCTTGTACCCTCCTTTTGGCTCCTACTGACTTTGCTATTGTGGTATTGCATGGGGCCGCAACAGCACTATGCTTTTCTAGTCACTGATTGTAACTTGGAATACGTCTGCTTGTACCTCTGTTTCCTGATTTTTCTATTCTGTATGTTTGTTCTTCCCCTTGGGTTTAAATTCCGCAACCAAGTATTGATTTTGATGCAAAAAACTCAAATCTTAAAGTGTGCATGGACCTGCATGCACATATGCACACCTTGAAGAAGCGGGTCTGCTGAACTCCTGTTTGTGCATACAAATGCATAAATCCCACAGTTAGGCTACCCCTAGACTCTGCTTTTCCATGCAGAGAAACCTCACAGCTCAGACAATGCAAGCACAAAACCAAGTAGAATTAAAAAGCAGCCCTGGATGACCCACAGTCCTCTGTTTTTTCATGCTGCATCAGTGGCTTACTGTTTCCAGCTATGCAGCAGTGCCTATACCCATTTAATACTTTGAGAGGTTGGGTCTGTGGCTTTCCCACTGCCCCCAGAGCTGTTCTGATGCAAGAACTGTCTCTCTGCTATTGCGGGTTGCCCTGCTTGTATTATTGCAAGTACAGTGTATATTTTGATAAGCAGAACAGTAAAATAATAGTTGAACCCACCCTCTGTGACTTCAGAAGACATTGTCACTTAGGAATGTGGGAGGTGAACAAAACTAAACAAACCAAAACCAACCACTGGTAGCCCAGGAAATTCAGAGTCAAGGTACACTTTGCAAACACGCCATTTGAACTGCTTTTGATTCTCAAAACACTTATAATCCTCATTTCATATTATCCAAGTGTCTGTTTCCACCCTGTCTTTCATTTTCTTGTCTTGTGCCTGAAGATTACTGAAAATGTGCAACAGAGCATGCTGTTATTTTGACTTCATTTAATGTGTATGTGCAGTAGATGCCAGAAAGTTTTTTGTCACAACAGACTTTTCTCTTTTTTAGGCAAGTGCTCTAATTTCATGATAGATGGTAATGTATTCCCAAATGACTGTCTCTGTGGCTATGAAGAGAGCACCATAGAAACTTATCTTCCATCTATCTATTTTCATCTAAAAGTCTGATGATTAGGTTGTGTGATACTCCACTGCAGAGCTCAGGCCCAAAAAGTTTGGGAATAACGGAGGGAGGTATTTGGCACACAAATTCTGTGGCTGAGAAGAGTTGCCTTTCTATCTAAGGTTCTCAAAAGAGATCAGTTAACTCATGTGTTTCCAGGTTAAAGGTAGGTCAGCGCCCTTGTCATTCATAGGGCAGGAAGACTTTCAAGTTTATTTTAAGCCTAAATATGGCTAAAGATTCAGATAAAATCTTCATGGGTTTTATAAGAGTTTTGATGTAGACGTAGGCATCTAGGTCCCACTGAAGAAGTGAGATGCTTTTGAAAGTCCTACTTATCTGCAGCAACTGGAAGAATTGGACACTTAATGAAACAGAAAGCCTGATTGGCTTTCAGCCTGATATATTTTTGATCAAGAATTTATAAGCAGCCTTGTGCCTAGGTGCCTTGTGAATGTACGAGAAGTGCCAATGCAGCTCTGTGAAACAGGAAATGCATGGAATATGAAGATAGTGGCTGAAGCCTTTTCATCTCTTTCATCACTTGTTAGCATGTTTTCCCAAGAGACAGAGAAATTGGCATTTTGTTGTAGAACAGGATTAGGGTGCTTTTGAGTATAGCCTTAGCTGTAAATTTCCTGCTTCTGTCATTTGTTTTTTGTATTTTGTTGTTCTCTTTTACTTACAAAAAACTTCTGACTTGTAACACTTGAGGTGTATGCCCTCAACTTCGTGTCAGCATTAAGGAAGTTACGCAAGGACAGATCCTTAATTTCTCTGTCAGGTAAATTGAAGTGAGCTGGAAAGTAGACCTCTTACAGATGACAGAAGTTTTGCAAGACAGGCCCTACCCAGTGTTCCTCAGCAATCTCAGGACCAAATTTTTCCTTTGGTGGCCTGGCCACCTTATTTCACGCTAAGAAAGTTGCTGTGTGGTAGCAAGAAGTCTTCCCCAATGGACATAAGAGAGAGCACAGCTGTCTCTCCTGTTTCTCAGGACCGAGGTCCCTCTCCTTTGAGGAGCAGCAGTTGTATAATAATGAATGAGGCTGTACTCAGTGTGGGCCTGGAGCTGGCATGTGTAAATGGCAAGAGACCATGGAGGGCAGTAGGCCAAGGACAATCCTTCAACTTCCACAGGCTTAGGGGGGAGTTGATGAGCTCTGAACAAGGACTTTGACCAGAAATCTTGGGGAACTCATCATGAACAGAGGAGAAATTTCACTTCTCCTCAAGCCTCTCAGATGGTGGGATTGTATTTTGAACTGCAGTTTTTCAAGGTAAAAAGTCTAGGAACTTAGTTTTATGAAAACAAAAAAGCATCCTCCAGAATGTGTGCAGATTATTGTGTTTAAGCTAGTGCTACACAGCTGTCCCTTTCGATTTGCTTCAGAGTTTTGCTGAAAAACACACCTTAGCTCTTGAAAATTTTTACCTCACATTAAGGCACTAGCACACCACTGCTATTTGTGTGTATGAAGGCCTTTCTGTGGTGAAGAAAAGGAGAAAAGTTAGATTTTAAATGGAAACATTTATTGTAGTCTTAATTCCAGAATGACTGTCCCTTTTTCATAATTTCTTTCTCAAACCATCGGATCCATGTTTCTTTTTCATAAGTGGACATTTATCAACGTGACATTAAACTGTCATTAATTGTTTCGCCTTGGATGCTCTGAAGGAATGAACAGATCATTGTGTGTAACCGAAACTATTCCATATAAGTCCTTATAGCACACTAGTCACAGTATATTTGAATGCCCTCCAGTAGTGTGCTAAGCAACGTGACTAACATCTGTTGTTTGTTCTTTCTCCTCTCCACAAGGGACATGTCTGTGCACTGAAGTGCATTCTTTTTAAAAGGGTATTTTGTTTTTTTTTACCCGCACCTGTGTATTGCTGTGTGTTTCTAGTGGATAGGGATAGGTCATGGAGTGGAAGGTGGGGAGGTTGGAAGTGGTTTGTAGTTCCCAAGCATATTTCCTCTGTAGTTTGAGCTGGGCACTGAGGAAGCACCGTATTTTCACAGACAAGATTTTTTGTTGATCCATGGACTGGCACAGAAGCATGACATCCAGTTCAGCTGCCAAATAGCATGATCTTATGGTGCACAGACCATTTCTGTTGTGAACCTTGTACTCCCCCAGAAGCAGGATGGGGAAGGGCCAACCAGAAGGAAAGTGTACTCACTGTGAAATAGGTGTCTCGGACCAAAACATTAGTTTCTTTTTCTGCCATCTCTGTACAGAACTTAAAATGACTCAGATGCCCCAAGCAATAGTAAACTTGCCTGTGTGCTGCCTCTAACCAATGAAAAAAAAATAAAAATAAAGTTGAAACTGCTGATTAAAGATCCTTTGAAAAGTTCACACAGAGTCTGCTCTGCTTCTTAGTTAGGGGGAGGGCACAAGCAGAACAGCTCTTCAAATGGGCAGCTACTTATAGCATGAGACATTTCATTGTGACTCACTGGATATGAATCACTGCTACATAACACCAATTTTAAACTAGTTTAATGCCATTGATTTCAAAGTTTCACAATCATGTGAAACTCAAAGTAGGCAGCAGCTTGCATTCGGGGCTTGCATGTTTGAAGTGGAAGAAGTTAACATCTGGGTAAAGCCCAACAAAGAGTTTAGCTGAAGAGAGAGCTCAAGCTGAAGACTGGAGAATGTGGGAGTGCTTAGAAAGGGCATTGCTTAGAAAAGACAAATTGATCAAACCCTGCCTGACATGCCTTCAGGTTGTATTCAGGGGAAAGCTTCTCTTGGCCATTCTTTCAGCCAGATGAAATGCAGAAGGCAAAGAAGAAACATTCCCTTAAGGTCAGGCATCAAGATCCATGGCTGCATTCCTTTTTTGGGACTGCCTTCATGGATAACATTGACGTAGCAGCAGCATCAAAAGTTCACGGACAGGCATCAACTTACACAACTGAAAAGGGGAACTTTGAGTTGTTGAGGTGACATGAGTTGGATGACTTGCCATCTTCTCCTGGGGAAAGGTGGTGGGCTGAAATGACACTGCAGAACAGCTGAAATTAGGCAAAGCAATCCCAAGAGATTTCTGTAGACATAATTCAAGACTGGAAACTGACTGCAGACACTGCGGTAATTGGTCTGTGATAGAAATGCCTAGTATGAATGAATGGAGTGGCTCCCTCAAGGCTGTCATCGCAATTCCCCATGCAACTCCTCTCACAGGTGGTAAGAGCTCACTCTCCTTTGTCACAGGTTTTGCTGCATTCAGGCTCTGGGAAGGCCATCTCCATGGCATATTCATCCAGGAGTCTGAGATAAACTTTCTGCCTTCCAGCGCAGAAAATCTGAGAAACAGATGGTGTCATTTCATGAACTGCAGTAAAATAATACCAGGGAAGAAACAAGCCATGAGATGCATCCACTTACTTTTTTGTGTTGTTACTTACTTGGACACCAAAATTAGCCTCTTGTTCATCGTGACTCATTAAAGTGGCACAAGGTGAAGGAGCATGGGGCTACACAGAGCTGGTCTTATGAAAGGGCACAGCTACCTAGTACAGTTGACAAAATAAAAGGTAGGCAATGTAGCTGAGGGAGTGCAACAGCAGTTTACACTGGCCATGAAAACTTCACTTAAAACTTACAAGCCTTTAAGGCAGATGTCTTATTTGGAATCACCTGGTCCAACACCTAAAAATGCTGCTTACAAACTAGGAGGCAGGATCCATATTAGGGCTAGGGAGTTTGTAAGACCTCTGTCCTTCCTCATTCCCACCCCTCAGCTTATTTTCTAGTATAAAACAGGAAACAGAGGTGAATTAAAGACACGTGGAATAGCGCAATTGTTTGTTAATGGGAAAAATGCGTGTCATACCAGCCCTTAAAGAAAAACAGTTTCCACCTCAAGGACTTTTTGGTATTTGGACAGATGAGTGGACATTAGGGAGAAGGCTATATTAAATGCAGGCAAGTGGTCAGAGAGCCAAAGATTTTTAACAGTGACTTCAAGTGGCATAAACACCATGAAAGCCACAGGAGTCCTTTTGAAGAGCAAAGCGATGCCTGCTCTATCCTGCCATTGTTTAAGCATCCCCTTGGGCCTAGAAGAATATCCTGCCTCTTTGCAAGGAGACTCAGGGAAGGGCAGTGTTGCCAGCTCACTGAAACCCCACAGTACAGAAAGCAAGTACTGCCTGTTGGAGAACCTAGCTTTTGGCCCTATTATTTGAATCTTTGGTAGCATAGCAGAGCTATCCTGAGAGATTCCTCAACCATGGTATGATGCCATGATGCCGGTATGTTTGACATGGCAGATGGGAGTGCATATGGAGAAGTTCAGTCTGTTGTTTGGACCAACAGCTCCCTACCTTTTGCCCTATTAAATGTCTAAACATTTCCAAATTAAGAGCAAAGCTCTTCAGAAAGCTAAGAGCCGGGCAGGGTGCCGCACAGCTATAGATAGAATTACTTTTTCTAGTTACCTTTCATAGACCTCCTAGAAGTTGTTCATAAGCCTTCCCGGTTTTTCAGAAATCATGTGTTGAAAAACGGAGCTTGAGTAGTAGCTTTAAAAAGCATCTTGAAGAAAAAGCAGGGTGAAACTTAACCTTTCCTATGTGTGCCCATGAGAGGGCAGCACAGACCGGCTGAGTCTTCTCTAAAGGCTCTTAGGAGGCAGAGAAACTACCTCGAGAGTTCATGTCCAGCCGTGGAGGAGAAAAAGACCTTGTAAAAGGGCTGGACGGCCCAAAGCACAGCTCCATCCATCGCCCACCTGAAACTAAAAACCAGGTTCATCTGGGTACAGGATTGACTGGGTCAAACCCCAGGCTCATGACAGGGTCCGAGTCTTACAGACTTCTCAGGAAAGTTTCCAGTTACTGAAAGCTCAACAGGGAGTTTCAGAGGAAGAATATTGGACGTTGACGACAGTTGTGTCAAAGCAATGAGTCGGTGTGAGACATCAACCGCACCCTTGCCAAGGCAGAGGCCGTCACCCCAGGAGCACTATAAATTCGCCCAAGGCATGCGTGATATTTATTTCCATCCCAGTGCTCCTAAGCACCGAACCAGCCAACACCCCTCGGCTATTCCCCTTTCTTCCTGCTGCCCAGACTCTTGCAATGCAGCTCTAACTTGACTGTCCTCCCTCTTTCTTTTGCATCCTCTAGCCCTCTGGCAAGGCGGAGATGCTGAGATAAATCAGACAAATGCTTGCAGCACTTGGCTTACAACAAGCGTGTTGGAAACTGGATAGTGACAGGCAACTGTACGTAGATGGCAGTGCTCCACTGCCAGCCCTTTACAGCCTCCCAGATCAGAAGCAGCTAATGCGGAGGAGGCAAGCAGGACGGATTTGGGAGGAATGAGGCATCCCCCAAAAGCTGGAACAATTAATGTGAACAGATTTCTTTGGCCCCTTGCAAAATAAAAGTCCCCAAACAAGACCTCTTCTTTCTACCATGTTGTGACTCGTGACTGACACATGGGATTTTGGAGGAGAGATTTTTAACCATCAGCAAGAGCAATGCAGTCACTAGGTCCAGACAGAACAGCTTGCTCCTGGCCTGTTACATGAAACTCAACTGAACCACCAGCACCAAAGGACCGCCATGGTACCAAGGCCATTTGGGATGTGGGAGACCACATGCTAATGGATAGATCAGCACTGACATATGCAGTCTTTCACAGGCCAGAAAGCCCTCAAATTCACAACCAAGAGCAATACTGAGATGCTTTCTAGCAGAGCTTCCTTGGACATGGTCAGCCTTTAAAAGAAGCTATCTAAAACACAAGCAGATATTTTCTGTCTTCCCAAAAGCCTTTTCTCCTGGTATGTATTTTGCAAGATCGCAGGCAGTCCTTTCCCCAGGCACAGAGAGGTTTCTAGCCTCCTCTGAGCCTTCCTGTGCTCAGGCTCCCAATCAGAGTGAGCTGGCCTACCTTCATCAGAAGATGAGACTCAAGAGAAAGCCACGTCCCATTTGCTGATCCTTTTACTCCATCAAGGGTGTTGGCTGGGGAATGTCACTCTTGCAGGGCTTGGCTCCCCTTCCCTGCCAGAAGAAACTGCTGGTGGGAGGGGAGCCAGGGCAGGGCTTGACCTCAGGGCTCCCCCAGGCTCCTCCGTGCTTGTTTTATCTTCTGGTCTCTGACTGTACAAAAATGTGACCTCTAGGTTGCTGAAAGATCAGCAGCTCTAAGATGCAGATATTTTGGTCTGGGTTTTCATCTGCAGAAAGGAAAACCCAGGCAGGCATCAGGCCTGTGGTGAGGCTCTCCTATGAGTTTCCTTCGTAGTCAGCAGAGTAAAAGAGGCATCCTTACGGGGAGATTTAGACCCCAAATCCCTCTCTCAATGTGTACAATAATAAGGCACCCTGAGGGTCTTCTATATTAAGAGTAGTAGCAGCCAGTAGAGATTAGCCTTTATAAATACCCACTGTTTCTCTAAGCTTTTGGGTTGAGACCACTGAGGAAGGGAGCCACAGCAGCTGGTCTAATTGTTACCAGTGGGGTACCGAGATTTAATTTGTTACTGTCTTTACCCACATGTGCAAATTTCACCATGAGCACTAGCCCAAAAATCCCTGGGCAAGCAGTTCTCTACCTGAGCTGAGTTCTTTGCCAGACAGAGCTGGTTCCTCTGACTTGTTTGTCCTTTCTGCTTGCTCACTTGTCAGAAGGAGAAGAAATGGTTTCTTCTGAAAGGCTAAAAGTACAGATTTTTATGCGATCATGTGATTCCTTGGGCTTTACACAAACACCCAGAATTGCAAGTCTTAACAACACCAAAATACAGCCTTGGTTATAAGTTCACGAATAAAGCTACCCTACAAAATTAGAAAAATAAGGCGTATCCCTCTCCTTCCCCAAAATATAAAGAAACCCCAATCCTTGAGAGTGTGCTTTATAGCACTCCCCTTAGGAATGAAGCATGCAATGCCATATTCATGGGTGGATTATGCATTGCCAAGTGCAAAATACCAGGATTACCAGCGTCACAAAGATGCCTGTATCTGGGTTTTCTGTAACACACTTCACCGAGGCATCTGAGGTTTTAGCAAGAAGTCACTTACTACATTCCTCATTATACTAAATATATACATACAGTTCTGCTTTTCAGTCTATATGTTTGCAGGCTGAGCCGGAGTGGCAAGCCCAGCCACCCAGCGGTTTATCCTAACCCACTATAATTAGCCCCCGGTTGTTGCTAACGGTATGCCATTTGTCTCCCCACACTCAGCACTGTTTGGTAAACAATTTGAGGGACGGAGTTGCTCTCCCCTCATCTCCCTAGGTGGTGTTCACTTATTTATTCACCACACCCCCC